ACTCCACCCACCAACCCGCTCCAAGGGGCCCTCCAAGAAAAACGGGGGCGGGTCCCTCATGTACGTGATCTCAAAGAGCGGTGTGACGAAGTCACAGAACCCCTTCCCCATCGGGCGCAGCTAACACTTCCCAGCGGTGGCACCGGCGACGCGGCTTCTTCGTTTCGTGCGGCCTGCTTCAATCGCAAAAACAAAGGCAGCGAAGGGCCCCGCCGGTGGCAGGAAAGAGGCAAAAAAGAAAAAAAACATGCAAAGACGGCACCAGAGAGCACGCTTCCGTTGTGCCCGGGCACCGCGACGCTGGCCGCAACCGACGCCCGACCCCCTTCCGTCGCCCCCGTGGGCAGGCGGAGACGCCGCAAAGGAATCGCAGCGGGGCGAAGGCAGAAACAGACCAGCGACACAAAAAACAAAGCAATACAAAAAACAGCATTCATCGCCGTGGAAGTGCGTACACTGTGTGTGGGGACGCACCACGGCAGAGCCAGAGAAAACACGTGAGGGCGGCAGGAGAGCCGGGCCGGCACAAAGCACCAGAGAGGGAACTCGCAGAAACGCGGGCGCACGCACAACTGAACGCGACGCCGCGCCCGCTCCGTCGCCGGTGGCCCACAACTCGCCGCACTTCACATGGAAAGTAAAACAAGCCACACGAAAACAAAGGGAGGAAACAACAACAACAACAACGCCGAGCGGGCCAGTGCCAACCCGCAGGCAGGCGCGACCCACACCACACCGAAGCGGCGGGAGGCCCCTGTGACGATGAGGGAGCAAAGGGAAACACAGGACAGAAAAAAAAAACCGGCACGCACACCCTCTTCCATGCAGAATAGGGGGCATTGGCTCACTGAGGCAGATGCCAATCAAAGAAATAATCCCACGCATCCTCCGTGTGCAGCGCGCCCGTGTCACTCAGCTCGTTCAGGCTCAGCAGGCCAAGGCTGTCCCAGATGATGAACGCATCGTCCACAATTAGGGACGGAGCCTCGGCGCCGGCAGAAAAGGGGATTTGCAGCCTCTCCCTCACACAGGGGAGAGTGGAATAGACAAGCGCGAGGTCACCTGCCTCCTCGCAAGCAAAGTCCGCAAAGACGCCAGTGGCCTCCGTGTACACGTTGACACCGCACTCACCGTGCGCCGCCGCTGAGGGCACCCCCTCGCCCGTACCGCCCCCAGGACACAGCGGCACCAGCTCCAGAAACACCTCGCGGAGGCACGGACCATAAAAACGGTAAACGCTCTGCTCACGTCCAGGTGGGGGCGGCAAGTGCGGCGGCCGGTATGGGTTCAGTTGGTAGCGAAGGAACAGCTGAGGATCCATGTCAATGCTAGGAACGGGGTCCCCCGTGACGGTCGACAGCTTGTACGGTAGGCGGGCGTGTAGAACATGCTGGTGCGTGCACTTGTACCGTTTCTCGCTGCCGCGGCTGCAGAGAGGCGGCTCCCTGTACACACTCCACCCACCAACCCGCTCCAAGGGGCCCTCCAAGAAAAACGGGGGCGGGTCCCTCATGTACGTGATCTCAAAGAGCGGTGTGACGAAGTCACAGAACCCCTTCCCCATCGGGCGCAGCTAACACTTCCCAGCGGTGGCACCGGCGACGCGGCTTCTTCGTTTCGTGCGGCCTGCTTCAATCGCAAAAACAAAGGCAGCGAAGGGCCCCGCCGGTGGCAGGAAAGAGGCAAAAAAGAAAAAAAACATAGCAAAGACGGCACCAGAGAGCACGCTTCCGTTGTGCCCGGGCACCGCGACGCTGGCCGC